TGTAATCTAGGCATGGTGGTACATGCCTTCAATCTGCAAAAGTGTTCTTTACCATTGAGCCATCTCTCCAGCCTTGCTGTGTTTTAGAGTTAAAAAAGAAAAAAATCGCACTCGGGAGGCAGAGGCAGACAGATTTCAGTGAGTTCGAGGCCAGCCTGGCGTTTTAGAGTTAAAAAAGAAAAAAATCGCACTCAGGAGGCAGAGGCAGACAGATTTCAGTGAGTTCGAGGCCAGCCTGGTCTCCAGAGCGAGTGCCAGATAGGCTCCAAAGCTACACAGAGAAACCTTGTCTCAAAGAAAAAAAGAAAGAAAGAAAGAAAGAAAGAAAGAAAGAAAGAAAAAATCACACCAAACTCTCTGAGTTTGAGATCAGCCTGGTCTACAGAGTGAGTTCCAGGACAGGCTCCAAAATTACAGAGAAACCTTGTCTCAAAAACAAACAAACAAACAAACAAACAAAATCACAACATTAAAAAAAAAATCATTCCCGGGGCTGGAAAGATGGCTCAGAGGTTAAGAGCGCCGACTGCTCTTCCAGAGGTCCTGAGTTCAATTCCCAGCCTGGTGGCTCACAACCATCCATTATGAGATCTGGTGCACTCTCCTGGTGTGCAGATATACATGGAAGCAAAATGTTGTATACATAATAAATAAATAAAAAGTCTTTTTAAAAAATCATGCCGAATATGGTGTCCATGTTTTTAATCCCAGCACTCTGAAAGTAGAGGCAGATGGATCTCTGTGAGTTCCAGGCAAGCCAGAGTTAACATGATGAGACACTGTCTCAAAATAAAACAGAAGTCTGGAGGAATGGCTCAGCATCCATACCAGGTATCTTAACAGCTGTCTGTACTTCCAGTTCCAGGGGAACTGGTGCCTTCTTCCTGCTTCTGAAGGCACTGCACACATGTGAAACACATAAAAACAAGCACACACACACACACATTCACATTTAAAAAGAAAAAACCAATGAGGGGGCTAGAGAGATGACTTAGCTGTTAAGACTACAGGCTGCTTTTGCAGATCTTGGTTTGGTTCCTGGCACCCACAGGGCAGTTCATAGTCATCACTAATTTCAGTTCCAGAGCATCTGGTACCCTCTTCTGACCTCCAGGAGCACCACACATACACATACTGCACATACATGCAAGTAAAATACATAAACTAAATGAATCTGTTTGTTTGTTGGTTGGTTGATTTTTCTTTTTTCTTTTTTTTTTTTTTCAAGACAGGGTTTCTCTGTATTACTTTGGAGGCTGTCCTGGAACTAGCTCTGTAGACCAGGCTGGCCTCGAACTCACAAAAAACCCCCCTGCCTCTGCCTCCCAAGTGCTGGGATTAAAGGCGTGAACCCCCAACGCCAAATAAATCTTTGTTTAAAAAAAAAAAAGCAAGAAAAATCACGATATACACATTCTATCTTAAACCATAGAATCCTTTTGTGATTCAGACTGAAATCCTACCTTGCCAGGTGGCTTCCCTACCTCACTCCAGCTCTATAAAATTCCTCAAGGGAGCTGGAGAGATGGCTCAGTGGTTGGGAGCACTGACTGCTGTTCCAAGGGTTGTCAGCTCAATTCCCAGCAACTACATAGTGGTTCACAAACATCTGTGGTGAGATCTGGTGCCCCTCTTCTGGAATGCAGGCAGAACACTGAATACATAATAAATAAATCTTCCTTTCTTTCTGTTTCTGCATTTATTTATGTTTGTATTCATGTGTTGGAGGACAACTTGTGGGAGGAACTTCTTTCCACCACCTGAACCCTAGGACGGAGCTCAGGCTGTCATGCTTGGTCACACGTGCCTTTTACACGCTAAACTGTTTCGCTGTTCTGTCCTGGGTAGATAGGGACAAAACGAGGCTGATAACTCAGGCTTCATCATTACCCAACGAAGGGCAAAGCAAGGAAGCCTCTCAGAGCCCGATGTAGAGGCACACTTTTGTTGTATTGTTGTTTTCAAGACAGGGTTGCTCTGCGTAACCCTGGCTATCCTGGAACTTGCTCTGTAGAACAGGCTGGCCACAAACTCAGAGATCTTCCTGCCTCTACCTCACGATTTCTGGGATTAGAGGTGTGCGCCAACACGCCGGCACTATTGGAAGAGGCAGGCAGACGGATCTCGGTGAGTTCGAGTCCAACATGGTTTACATAGAGATGTCCAGGAGAACCAGGACTATATAGAGAAACCCTGTTTTTTTATTTTTTTTTCAAGACAGGGTTTCTCTGTGTAGCTTTGGAGCCTATCCTGGCACTCGCTCTGGAGACCAGGCTGGCCTCGGACTCACAGAGATCCGCATGCCTCTGCCTCCCGAGTGCTGGGATTAAAGGCGTGCGCCCCCAATGCCCGGCGAGAAACCCTGTCTTAAAAAAAAAAAAAAAAAAAGATAAAGAAAAGGAAGTCACGAGATATGGCGGCAGTCACTAAGCGCCAGACAGCTTGCTGACTTTTCCCAGGCCATCTAGACAGGGGACCCATTGGGCCCAGCCCGGTTCGGAGGCCTGGTGCCCAAGGCCAGGAAACAGCCCACACACCCAGTTTAAACTTCCAAGTCAGCTAGGCCTCATGCAGCAAGAGAAAGCTGAAGGGGCGGGACTTCCGGTGGCAAGGTCCACTCTGACAGCGATGCATCATGGGACTTGCAGTTCGCCTTGAAAGTTACGGCTCGGGCGGGGCCTCTGCACTGCATGCTGGGAGCTGCAGCGCCGCGTGGCATGCTGGGAACGCGAGGCGTTAAAAGGGTTTGAAAGCCTCCTTGAGGTCTTTCGCCCGTGTCCTCATGGATCTCTCGGGGTTAGTCTCGCCCACGTTACATGAGCACTTGGCCAGTGAACAACCCGTTGTTTTTGTTGTGGGGAATACCACTGGGGACCGGGCAATGGCTCCCTTCCGGTCGCTCATTTCGTCAATGGGAGGCGCCCCCGTGCGGCGCCGTGCGCGTCCCGGGGGCTTCTGGGTAGCGGTTTACCCCCGCCCACTGCGTCAGCGTCTTCCTTTCGCTGCCCGACGCCGACGAGGTCGCACGCGTGAGGCCTGTCCGCAGCAGCCAAGTGAGTGGGCTTGCCGGCCGGGCCGCGGGCAGGGGTCGGGACTGAAGGGTGGGTTGGCGGCCGGGAGTCGAGGGCTGCACGGCCCCGCATGGACGGGAGCTTAGGCCCGCACGTGGCCTCACCTGTTGACTAAAATGGAGTAGTAAGCAGAAGGCCTCTCGGGTAACGCCACCGCCGTATCCTCTCTCTGTCCCTTTCAGCATGCGCTACGTCGCCTCTTACTTGCTTGCCGCCCTTGGGGGCAACTCCTCTCCTAGCGCTAAAGACATTAAGAAGATTCTAGACAGCGTGGGCATTGAGGCGGACGATGACCGGCTCAACAAGGTACCTTGCTGCTTCCCCTGCACCCTGTGGTGTGTTTGCAAATGTCGACCAGTGACGGCCCTCATTGTTACCATATTAGACCTGGGCCTTACCTTTAAAAGGAGATACTGTAGATGACTTGGTGGGAAAGATGGAGGGAGGAGACCTAAGCCAAAGGTTGTGGTAGTTTCTTTTTGGTTATTCGAGACAGGGTTTCTCTGTAACAGCCCTTCCTGTCCTAGATCTAGCTTTGTGGACCAGGCTCGAACTCACAGAGCTCCATCTGCCTCTTGAGTGCTGGCGCTAGAGGCATACACCACCACCGCCCGCCTAAAGACTGTTTTGAGGACCTTGTTCAAAGAAATCAGTGCAAGCCGAAGGGTCTGGTCGTCGTGCTTTTGTAGAAGTTTAATGCAACTTATTTGCATCGTATTTTATTACTTTGTTTTTAGAAACAAGGTTTCTTTGTGAAACAGACCTGGCTCTTCTGGAACTTGCTCTGGAGACCAAGCTGGCCTTGAACTCACAAAGATATGCCTGCCTTTGTCTCCCTAAGTGCTGGGACTAAAGATGTGTGCCACCACATCTGACCTAGACTGGATTAGTGTGTGGTTTTTTTTATTTTTCAAATTAGAAACAGTCTTACTTAACATCAATCCCAGTTCCCTCTCCCACCCATCCATGTCGCCACCGACCCCCCCTCCCACTTCTGTTCCCCAGGGAGGGTGAGGCCTTCTATGGGGGAATCCCCCGTGTGTCTAGGCTGAGAGAGTATCCCTCTATGGGGAATGGACTCTGGAAGATGCCCCATAGACTGCCCAGGCCTCCTAACTGATACCCATGTACAGGAGGCCTGGTTTGATCCTTAAGGGTTAATATTACTGTGTACAGTAGGGGGTTTGTGCATGTGAGTTTGGATGCCTCAGAGGTCAGGGTCTCCCGGAAGCTGGAGTTAGAAGTGCTGAGAATCAAACCCCAGGACTTGGCAAAAGTAGCTGCCCAACCTACAGAGTGAGATCCTGTGGGGGGTGGGGGGAGACAACCCAAAACAGAACTCTGGCACTGGAGCTGTCTCTTTGTCCCTAAAATCCATTAGAAAAGTATTTTTGTGGTGGTGGCTCACACCTTTAATCCTGACAGGTGGGTCTCTGAGTTTTAGACTAGCCTGGTCTACAAAAGCTAGTTCCAGAACAGCCTCCAAAGCCACAGAGAGCAGGTGGGTCTCTGAGTTGGAGACTAGCCTGGTCTACAAAAGCTAGTTCTGAATTCCAGAACAGCCTCCAAAGCCACAGAGAAACTGTCTCGAAAGAAAAAAAGTATTTATACTCTTTGGGCTGTGCGGGGATAGAACCTAAGCCCCATCATGAGCCTAAGAATGTTAGCATCTAAAATTTCCCATTGCCAGCATCTTTGTTTAGAGGGCTGAATCCTGTGTCTCTGGGCCAGCTACTGTGAGTGTAGTGCAGGTCTAGAAGCTTCAGAACACTTAGCTGTTTATTGCGCCACCAGTTCTGGCTACGGATGTGTTGATATTGACCACTGGATATGGTTGTCTACTCTCAGGTTATCAGTGAGCTGAATGGAAAAAACATTGAGGATGTCATCGCCCAGGGTGAGTTTATTTAGGGTAAGATTGTATGTTTATGGTCCATCCTAATCCCTGCTGGTCAGTCAATGATCTGCCAGGCTTCGCTTGTGGACCAGAGCATCTTAGAAGCCCTGACAGTGAGCAAAGCCTTTTTTAGGCTTGTGCCAGCAGCACTTCTGAACACACTTGGATCTGGAACTGGCAATGGGAGCACAGTTTTGCTGCTTCCAGGATGTGAAAAGCTTTTTTGGTGAGCAGGGACTGGGTTTTCTAAAATTGGTACAAGCCCTTAACCCTCTTTTGGTAGGTGGATAGATTTCTGGTGCCAGCAAACTGGGATTTAACTTGCAAGTTGATCAGTTACCAGCTGTGCGCTTGTCCTGTGTATGTGGCTGACAAAACCAGCTCAGCAAATGGTCTGGTTTGTGAGCTCACCGCTGTGGCAAAAAGATCTTGGACATATTCCGTTTTAAGGTTTTTTTTTTGGAGGGGAGGGGTTCAAGACAGGGTTTCTCTGTGACAGTTGTGGCTGTCCTGGAATTCACTTTGTAGACTAGGCTGGCGCCTAGCTCACAAGATCTGCCTGCCGCTGCCTCCAAATTGTTGGGATTAAGAGCATGTACTACCACTGCCCGGGCCAGTCTTTAAATTTTTAACTTAATTAGTTATTTGGGGGCAGGGTTTTTCTGAGTAGCCCTGATGTTCTGGGACTCCCTGAGTAGGCCAGGCTGGCTTTGAGTTCAGATCCGCCTACCTCCTGACTATTGGATTATAAGCATGTGTCACTGACTTCATATATATGCTTGTGTTGTATATGTGTGTAAAGTCACTGTTTTGCCTGCATTGTATGCCTCTGAGGGTGTCAGATCCCCTGGAACGGGAATTATAGACAGGTATGAACTGCCATGTGAGTGTTGGGAATTGAACTTGGGTCTTCCAGAAGAGCAGTAAGTGCTCTTAACTGCTGAGCCATCTCTCTAGCCACAAGCTTATTTTGTGTGTGTGGTTTTAGTTTTTTGTGATAAGGATTATTTAAGAGCCCTTATTTTTGTTTTTTTATGATGAGGATTTTTTTTTTTTTTTTTCTGTAGCCCAGGCTGGTCATGAACTCAGATCTTGCTGGGATTAAGTATGCATCGTATTTTAAGGTCAGGATAGGGGAAAGAAGTCCTAAATAGCATTATTATGTGTGTACAAGGTTGCCTTGTGATCAGATTGAATGCAGGTGACAGTAGTGTAAGTATGTTGGGCCACTGGTGTGCTAACTTCCCTTGGTTGGTCACTCTATCCTTGTGGAAGAGCTTTCTTGGCAGGGCCCCTGTTCTGGTCTCAAGTTCTTTGTTTATTTAGGTGTTGGCAAGCTTGCTAGTGTGCCTGCTGGTGGTGCTGTGGCTGTTTCTGCTGCCCCTGGCTCTGCAGCTCCTGCTGCTAGTTCTGCCCCTGCTGCAGGTAGGTAGAGGTGTGGTAGGTGGGTGGCGATCAGTGGGGATTGGTACTTGAGACTTGGTGTTGGGTGGGGCTTGCAGGGCAACCTGAATGAGTTCTTGGGGCAGTGCTTACTATGGTATTCCTCCACAGCAGAGGAGAAGAAAGACGAGAAGAAGGAAGAGTCCGAAGAGTCAGATGATGACATGGGATTTGGCTTGTTTGATTAAAACCCTGCTCCCCTGCAAATAAAGCCTTTTTATGTATCTTGAGTGGCCTTTATGTACATTCTTAACATGTGATGCCCATACTGTGTCCTCAACCCAGGTTCCCTCCAGAGAGCTGAAGTGTGTTGGATTAATGGGGAGGAACAGGACCTCCCATGTCCCTTAGCTTCAGAGAACTGTCAGGTCCTGTGAGAGAGATCCTTGTAGCTTTCATAGAACACTGCAGGTATGTATGGGAAATGTGAGACTGAGTTGAGATGATGTTTGATGGTTAGTTTCACAGGCTCTGCTGTAAGGCAAAGGTTACCTGGACTTTCACAAGCTGGTCAACAAGGGACTCACTAGGTCAGACTACACAGCAATATAAATGGGTTTCCTTACTTTTAGGGAGACAATTGAGTGCCAGCCATACAGAGGGGCTGGGGGCAATCTGGTGCTTGTGGCAGGGAATAAAATAGGGACCTCGTGAAGACAGGAAGAATGGGTCTAGAAAGCATAAGAAGTCACAGCTTCATTGTGGAGTGAGCTACAAGGAAGCAGGTAAAGGTAGGACTAGGGACAGGAGGGTCTCAGAAGGGCAGGTTCAGGGTTCTTGGCCTGGACCACAAAGGAAGGGGCCTGTACTCATACTGCAAGTGGGAGTTACCTAGTGTCAGGGTTCTGAGAAAGGCCAACCATGTTCTTGGCACCAGCAACTCCCAAGGGGCCTGAAAGCATGTGTACCCAAACAGCCTGACTGCTCTGTGGAAATGAGAGCAGAGGTCCTATTGAGCTGAGGCAGCACTGTCCCTGAAAAAATTGTGGGGAGGATCTTAAGTCCTCAGCTTATTCCTGTGACCACCATAAACAGATTTCCTGGCTGGCTCTGAGGACTTGCTCCTACTGTACCATGCCTCTAAACTGGACATATTGATCAGGACATACATACCCCCAGCTTGAGCATTTGGCCTCAAAGTCACTAGGTGTCCCAGGCCAGTATGAAACAAATTTGCCAGCATGAAGGATCTTCAAAAGTCAAGTTTCAGAGCTAGGTGGTGGCCATGCATGCCTTTAGTCCTAGTAGGCAGGGGGATCTCTGATGTTGAGGCTAGCCAGGGTGGTTACACAGAAAATATAACCCTGTCTCAAAAGAGTCTGAACTGGGTGGCAGTGTAGTGGCAGAGTGTTTCCCTAACATCTAGGACACCCAGGGTTCAAAACCCAGAATGGTGAGTTCTCTGTCAAGAGGACTGAAGTTAAAATCCCAGCACTTAACATCAGGTGCCTCACAAACCTGTAACCCCAAATTTAGGTGTTCATATGCAGCTCTTTGACTTTTGGGTACCTACACACAATTTTAGAAATCAGGGACTAGAGAGATGGCTTACTAAGAACACAACACACCTGAGTTCTGTTCCCAATACCCACACTGAGTGGTTCAGAACTCAATAATTCAAAGGGATCTGACTTCTCTGGACTCTGGTCACCTACACTCAAGTGCACATGCTCCTTCTACATACACATAATTTAAAAGGTAAACATATGCTGTGTGTTGTGCACTTGAGAGGTACAAGTGGGTATGTCTGAGTTCAAGAAAGCCACGACAGCCAGGGCCACAAAAACTCAAAAACAATTCTATTACATTTTCCCCTGCTCACCCCTCATTGGGTTCTGATTGTTTGCCAGAGCTCAACTCTGTAGTCTCAGGGCATCTTACTTATTTTGACTCTACAGTGTATTGGGGCACTGTTGACTTCCTTCTTACCCTATTCCTGTACCCATGCCTGCTCTTAGTTGTGTTGAGTGTGAAATGGCTCCATCACAGTCAGGATGAATCATCCTGATTTCCGAGAAATGTCTCCTGTGCCCTTGCAGTCACACAGCTCTCCATTCTGGATGTTAGGATTCCTTCTGTGGCTTCACTTCTTTCCCTCCATCTACTAGCAGCCCCACCATGTCTCCTGGCTTCATTCCCAACTTAGTCCTTGCTGTGGGGACCACCAGGGGGATTTAAAAAACCAGCCCTAGCACCAGTTCACCCAACCCTCTGCTGGTGCACATTTCCTTCTCTTGATGGCTGACATCCAGGGGTTTTCAACATTACTGACCAGACCACCTGCCAAAGAACTGTACTCCCTTTTCTGAGAAAACTTCACAAACAAAATGGCTAGTAAACTGCCTCAATCCCAATCTCCTCGTGACATGTGAGGCTCCCCAAGTGTTTTATTCCCCAGGCACTTCCTTCTCCAGCTGTAACCTGTTTGGTGTACCTTTAAAAGGCTCTTAAGGTAGGCAACTCTCTAATCCCAGCACTTGAGAGATGGAAGCAGATTCAAGACTTCAAGGACTGAAGTCCATAGATAAGAAAAAAAGTGTATCAGCACATCCTTTAGCTTATATCTAAAAATTATTTTATAAACAGCTTCAAAATCCCCCCAAGTCACATACATAGCTACTGCTCAGGCACTTAGGCACATTACTAAGGCCTGCACTTGGCTCTTCAAATTGCCTCTCATTTGTATGCTTAATTAACTTCATTCCTATTGGTCTTGGGATTCTTTGTGGTGTGTGTCAAGGACCTGGATCACCTGAGTAAGAGTCACTGGGCTCAGATCTTCTGACTGAATTGTTGGTAACACATGTATACTTCATGCTGTTGTGACAGGTCTAAAGCTGAGCGGGAAGTGAGACTTTCTGGGCAAAAAGACATACTTTCATCTTCACCCCAACCTGGGCCCGCACCTGTTTAGGGTAGGGCCAGATGAGAGCTGTTTCTAGGTCTAAGCTAGCCTAGCCTGTACCACAGCTGAGGGAACAATGCGGAAAAAGGGCGGGAGGATGACATTATCCAGGAGCACGCCGCTTCCTGGGACAATTAGTTGGGGGTGTGGCCTTAGTCTGAGATCAGATGAACCCCACAAATCAGGAGCCAGGATCAGACAACTACAGACCCAGGTGAGCAGTCAGGGTATTGAGGGACCCTCTAGGGTGGAACGGGACTTGGGTCTGTGTTTGCTGGGTCAGTGTCAGTCTGTTGTTGGATCCGTGGGTCTTGGGAGCTGAAGTCTCAATGACTCATGTTTCCAGGCTCAAGGGAATACTATATCTGCGTTTTCACCCAGGTTCCAGATCTTCTGTGTCTGGGTGGGTGTCCCTGGAGAACGGGGAAGCGCCTGATCACAAACCAGAGCTCTTCTTAGTTCTAGTACCCAGGTATATGAAAGTCTCACCGCTACACTCACTCAGGCCGCTCTAAGCCCAGGCAGGGGCTGCCCACGCTGTGGGGTCGAAAGGAGGAGGGAGGGCCTCTGAATCTCTCAGAAGGCTTTGCCCAGCAGGTGTCGTGGAGGGGCGGGGCCTCGGGGGCGCGGCCGTTCCTGGCGCGATCCAGTTGGGTCGCGCGCCCAGGTCCTGCCCCCTGCCGACCAGGCCCCGCCCTCGTCCCGCACTAAAACACCTCCTCCTCTGCCTCCGGGCAGAGCGTCTCCGCCTCCGCCGGCGGGGACCCCAAGCTACCACGACTGCGGGACCCACAGCCCGCAGGATACGGAGCCACGATGTTCCCGAGGGAGACCAAGTGGAACATCTCGTTCGCTGGCTGCGGCTTCCTCGGCGTCTACCACATTGGCGTGGCCTCCTGCCTCCGTGAGCACGCGCCCTTCCTGGTGGCCAACGCCACGCACATCTACGGCGCCTCGGCCGGTGCGCTCACCGCCACGGCTCTGGTCACTGGGGCCTGCCTGGGTGAGCCGGGCGGCGCGGAAGTTGGGCAGGATGTGGTGGGTACCGCGCGGGGCCGGGTGGATGCTCTAGCGTCCCACGCCCAACCCGCGTAGGGAAGCCGATACAGCCGCTAGTGCAGTGGCGCCGTGCAGGGGGCGTCTCTGCCGGTATCCCGGAACTGCGACCGAAGGTTCAGTATTGAGCCTTGGTCCGAGGCGGGTTTTGGTTTGTTTTCTTCCAAGAGTGTCCAGGGATTGGGGTAGGGCCTGGCGCGCTCCCGAATGGTGGCATTCTCTCCGGTGCCCGCGTAACCCACCTCAAGGGGCACAAAAGTTGGGAACAGGCAGGTGCTGCCAGACTGTGTTATTGGAAAGAGAAAGTAAATAGTGGGCGGGACTATGAGAGAGAGAGAGGAGGGGCATACTTCACTCCGAACAGGCTGCCAGCGGTCACTGCGTCCTGAGGTTCTGCTGCTGTAAACTGCTGTGTCTCTGGGGCCTAGTGCAAGGGTATCTCGAGTGGGCATCTGGACACTGGTGTAGTCCTTAAAGGGACCTCTGAAGGCAAAGCCCAGCTGGAGTCAGGGCTGGGCATAAGTGCTTCTTCTGACTATGGTGCTTTGACAGCTTGACTCCCCAGCTGTGGCCAGCTGACCCACTTCATGGGGTGGCCATACTTCTTGTTCTGAAAGGTTTCAAGAGTACAGAGATGGGAGGGGGGACTGGGTCTCCGGCTACTTCCATGGTACTTCCGGCTACCACGTGGGGTGTTGTTTACAGTACACTACGTTCTTCCTCCTAAGAGTCCTGGAAACTGCTGCCCATCCCCCATCCCATAGGTCAGCCAAGGCGACAAGGGAGTCCTGCTCAGCTGGAGCCTGTCTAGGGTTCTCTGTCTCTTTCCCATCCCCTTTGCCCTGAGGAGGGAAGAGAAGGAACACAGCTCTTGTTCTTGGTACCTTGGGGGTTCACCCTGTGATCTTGCCCACTGGCTCTCATGGAGGCCTTCAGAAGAGTGGGTGTAGTGGCCAGCTGGTCTCAGATATACATCAAGACTCCACCTGAGTTGAGACTGAATTAGGGATACCAGTCTCACAGAACTACTTACTACCAGTACTTTTCACATGTGATCTTGGGCAGCTAGAACCATGACAATTTGGTGGGTGTCACTGTGAGTCCTTGGTTTGTATACCCCATGGCTGACAAGGAGGGAACCTTAGAGGAGGGCATCATAGATCCTCAGGGGAAAAGCCCTAGACTCTCCTCTCCCTGGGCACTATTGGTCACTCCTCTCCTTTACTGTTGTTCTGGGCCAGCACCCATGGACTCTTAAGAGTGTTGGAGTGCTTGGTTTTGGCTGAATTGAGACCATCATGTCTTCCCAAGAGGTGGGTTCATCACTTTAGCTTGATGTTCTCAAGGCTGTGCTCCCTGAGCTGAACTGGGCTTTGTGGATCTGTCCACGCACCCATATCTGGCCAAGTAGATGAAGGTTGAAGCAGGTCAGAGTTGACCCTATGTCTTCCCCACTCTCTGGGCCACGTGCCATACCATGCTAGGCACAGTGACTCATGGGGACAGGCAGTTGGGAAATACCAGGCATAGGGCAGGTTCCAATCCCAGCTGGCCAGCTCTTGCTGTGTGCTATCCCCAGGGTGGTGGCCTGCCTCCTTCCACTTAGGTGGCAAAGTCCCAACTGTGAGCCAGTCCCCAGCGTGGGTATGGGCGTCTTCAGGGTCAACAGAACGTAACACATCTGAGTACCTTCTGGGTGTGGAGTCCTGGGGGAAGGATGGTTACTAAGCTGGGAGTGTTGTCCCTGATCCTGGTTCTGCTGTCCCAGGTGAAGCAGGTGCAAACATTATTGAGGTGTCCAAGGAGGCCCGGAAGCGGTTCCTGGGCCCTCTACACCCTTCCTTCAACCTGGTGAAGACCATCCGTGGTTGTCTATTGAAGACCTTGCCTGCGGATTGCCATGAGCGTGCCAGTGGACGCCTAGGCATCTCCCTGACTCGTGTTTCAGATGGGGAAAATGTCATCATATCTCACTTTAGCTCCAAGGACGAGCTCATCCAGGTAGGCCCTGGAGAAACTGTGTTCGGGGGTATGGGATCATTAACTCAGGGCAGGGCCCTGCTACTGTCCTGTGTCTTGTTTTTTCAGGCTAATGTCTGCAGCACTTTTATCCCAGTATACTGTGGCCTCATTCCTCCTACCCTCCAAGGAGTGGTAAGTATCCCTGCTTAGCCCTGCCCTGGAATGACAAGCATCATCTACTGTCTGGGCTGTTGGATAAAGGGGTGGATGAGAAAGGCCACCTCTCTCCTCTCCAATCCCTCACTGCCTATTTATTGCCTCACTTACCATGACTCAAGATGTGGGGAATCACTGGGAAGATGCACACTTCCTGTGGCTGGTGCCCACCCGAATTCCATCTGTCTGGCCATTTGCTGAGTCCCCAATGGCCAATGCCTAGTGGGCAAAAAGCTCAAATAGAACAGCTACTAGATAGAGCTACCAGAACACCCAGCAGGCCCCTAACCATGTGACTGTAAATGTGTGTTCTTGCAAAGCGCTATGTGGACGGCGGCATTTCAGACAACTTGCCACTCTATGAGCTGAAGAATACCATCACAGTGTCCCCATTCTCAGGCGAGAGTGACATCTGCCCACAGGATAGCTCCACCAATATCCATGAGCTTCGAGTCACCAACACCAGCATCCAGTTCAACCTGCGCAATCTCTACCGCCTCTCAAAGGCTCTCTTCCCACCAGAGCCCATGGTGAGCCAGCCAGCTAGTCCTGATAAGCACCAGGGGAGAGAACAGCTGGGACAGCATCAGAATTTTCGTGTGCTTTGCAAGGTTTACAGCACTTCAAGCTGTAGGCTTGTTATCGGTGGAAGTAGCTGTTACAGGAACTTAACTGTTACAGCAGGACTTTACTGCACCGGTCTGGGCTGATTTATACATTCCTCTCATAGGTTCTCCGAGAGATGTGCAAGCAGGGCTACAGAGACGGACTTAGATTCCTTAGGAGGAATGGTGTGTGGGCCGCCCCAGGTTGGGAGAAGCTGGCTCTGCTATGCCCCCTGCTGGCCACAAACCCAATGGCATCTCTGTCACCCCACCCCCAACCTAGGCCTTCTGAACCAGCCCAACCCCTTGCTGGCACTGCCCCCAGTTGTTCCCCAGGAAAAGGATGCAGAGGAAGCCGCCGTGACTCAGGAGAGGACTGGAGTGGAGGACCAATTGCAGCCCCATGGAAAAGATCGAATTCTAGAGCACCTGCCCGCCAGACTCAATGAGGGTATGCCATGGGTAGGGAGGACGGAGGAAGGGACAGGGTCCTTTGGAGAAGCTTGGCCAGCAGGTCTGAGAGGCTTCCACTTCCCTAACTGGCCACCACCTTCCCACCCGCAGCTCTGCTGGAGGCCTGTGTGGAGCCTAAGGACTTGATGACCACTCTCTCCAACATGCTGCCAGTGCGCCTGGCGACTGCCATGATGGTGCCCTATACTCTGCCGCTGGAGAGTGCAGTGTCCTTCACCATCCGGTGAGGGTGGGAAAGGGAGTCTAGGGAGAGTACATCAACATATCATACACCAGGGACAGAAGTCTAGGATCATCTAGATCATCTAGCCATGAGCTGCTTGGGAGATTTGGGGAGGGTGAGTGTTCAGTGTCCAGCAGGTGAGCATCAGGACCCAACCTGTTGTTTCTGAGGTCATACTTGGTGCTCCCTCCCTAGCTTGTTGGAGTGGCTGCCTGATGTTCCTGAGGATATCCGGTGGATGAAAGAGCAGACAGGCAGCATCTGCCAGTATCTGGTGATGAGGGCCAAGAGGAAACTGGGTGATCATCTGCCCTCCAGGTGAGCTACCATGGCTGCCAATCTGCCTGGGGCCTGGGGCCTGGGGCCTGGGGCCTGGGACCGCCACTAAGCCTTCCTTTCCTCCTGCTTCCCCCCTGCAGACTGTCTGAGCAGGTGGAACTGCGTCGAGCCCAGTCTCTGCCCTCTGTGCCACTGTCTTGTGCCACCTACAGTGAGGCACTGCCCAATTGGGTACGAAACAACCTCTCACTGGGGGACGCGCTGGCCAAGTGGGAGGAATGCCAGCGTCAGCTGCTGCTGGGTCTCTTCTGCACCAATGTGGCCTTCCCTCCAGATGCCTTGCGTATGCGTACACCTGCCAGCCCTGCCTCCACAGACCCCGCCACCCCACAGCACCCACCTGGCCTCCCACCTTGCTGAGAACCATCATTCCCCATTTCCTTGGTTACCAGCCAAGCTCCGAGTTGCTCTGCCCCACTTAAGAGGAGCCCTGGGGCAGACCAAGTCCCTGTCCCTTGGCTCCCTTACATGCTGTGGAATGAGGACATAGGGCCCTGCATAGCTGGAAAGGGGGTTTTTGATGTAAAACCTTTTACCAGCCGCTCCAATGCTGCTCCTGGTAGGGAGGGATGAGGAGTAACCTCCCCTGGAGCCCACAGAGCCCTTCCCTTCACCTGTGCCTTACTGTCCTCCTCCTGCCCACCACCTTTTCAGTGCAGGGTCAGTCCTGAGAACTCCACAGCTGCTGCTGCTTCTCCCAGCCTTTCAAGTTTCCTTGCAGAGTGTGTGAAGAATTATTTATTTTTGCCAAAGTAGATACAATAAAAGCCACAGCTCAGCTTCTGCCTTCCTCACTTCTGCATGTTACTCATGCCTCTGATTGAGGTCAGATGGGCAGTGTCTCAGCAGCTAACAGTTGGGCCTCATAGACTTGCTTTGAGCCCTGGCAACTGGAGACCCTCCCCTAGGGTCACCCTCTGGCAAGGGCACATGTATGCTGTTCCATTTGCTCTGAGGCCTGCTGACTGTCTCTTGAGCAGTGTTTCAAGCGCCAGCTGATATGTTTAGGACTGAGAACCTTAAGGTATAATAAAAACTAAAATGTTGGGTTGGAGTAGCTCAGTGGTTGAGCATCTGTCCAGCATGCACCAGTCCCGCATTCCACCTCAAGCACGAGGGGGGAAAATGTTTACAAAAGGCGTCATCCACACATCTGGTCCACATGGTGACACAGGGAGGGTGTGGATCCCTTTGAAGGGTGAAGCTTCTGGAACGGTGGCCTGGGCATCAGGAAAGCTCAGTCCCTGGCCCACACTGGGCATCTTGCTCAGAACTTTGTTGTCACACTCATCATTGCCAGGTGCATGTGTACATGTGCCTTTTCTGTACCGTGACCATACCTGTTTCCTCCCAGAGCCTTGGGAGTGGTCTGGAGTACTGAGGCAAGGTAGTGAGGTCTTAACTCAAGGGGTCAGCTCACCATGGTTTCATCAAAGTATCCTCTGCTGTGATGTGTGTGTTGTACAGTCTTGGAGGAAGGAGAACTGTGACGGGTGAGCTTATTTGTCAATCTGTGGAACTTGGCTTGGTACCCACTTGCCCCTCCCAAACGCTGCACAGTGGCTGCGGTTGCAGCCCCTAGCCAACAATAACGGTTGGTCTGGTTATGGGACCTGGGACAGCAGGACTGGGCGAGCCGGCCAGGCAGGTCCCTGGCCTAGGTGCCAGGGGCCGCCCCTCCTCTTGTCTCCAGGTCCTGTCCTATAGGGCAAGCCTGTTGTGGTTCTACTTGAGAAGCACAGGGCCCCCCAGCACTTCTGCAAGCCTGTGACTGCCAGGGCAGCTTTTCAGGTCAGTTTAGGGGCTTGATGGGGGGCATACCCTTGGAAGTGGATGGGTTTCCTCCTAAGTAGGACTTTGACATCATCTCCTAGAGTTGTCCTAAGCCTAGGGGAACCCTAATCAGGACTGTGCCCCAAAAGGATTGCTGGGGGCAGACTACTGAGGTGGTTTCACTGTGCCCCACATTCACTTAACTCATACACGAGTGCTGTTAACTTACATGTCATTTGCTAGCATTAAAACTTAGAAAACTCCAAACTGGAAAAGTATAGAGAAGAAAGTCTAGTCTCCCCAGCCCTGGATACAGCCACTGAAAGTATTTGTTCTATTTCCTGCTCGGCATTTTCCTACACACACTTCTTGGCACCCTAAGTCTGGATATTCCGGGAGGGGTGGGGGCTGGTATCTGCACCTCCGCGGCCTTGATCCTGTCCTGGAAGGGTCTTGGGGGTGGGGGTGAGGGACACGACGTCAACGTTGCTGCCCCCTGTGGCTCTCCCGGGAGAGCTAGCCACCCTGGATCGAGCCTCCAAGATAAGAGAGGCGGGACAAAGCAACAACAATCTCTGGTGGATCCACCCGGACGTGTTATCCCGGGGTCTCCTGGCCTGTAAAGCCGCAAGGTCTTTGTGGGTCCGCGCCCCTCGCCTGACTATCGGGGTCCGGGCAGGGGCGGGGCGCGCCGCGCGGGGCCGGGAGGAGCGGGCGGGGTGGGGAGGGGGGGGGGGCGGGGGCGGGAGGGGGGGGAGGCATGGAA